AGCCAGCGCCCCGAGAATCCGCCAGGTAGGGGGCAGCTGGGCTGGGTGTCGGCCGGGAGGGTCTTCGCTCCCCCCTCCCCGGGTCCGCGGTCTGCGGGGGCGGGAGGGGGTGTTCCTCCGCCTCCCGGCACCTCCTGCGCCCGGGAAGGGGGAGGTGGCTGGTCCCGGAGCTCAGCCCGGCGAAGGGCTGCCGGCAGCGGGTGCCCCGGCCTGGTTCTGCAGGGACCTCGTCCTGCCGTGACGCCTCCATGGCACAGGCAGCTGCCGGAGCCTTCCCGGGCGCTTTCTCCCCGAGGGCTGCTCCGGCCGTATTTTTTACTTAGGAGTACCCATGACAGGCCAGACTGAGATACTTGTCTGGAAAATCTGTTGCAGAACACAGGTAAAACGAACAAAACCCCACCACCTGCAGTATATAACTATGCTGTAAAAGACGTGTGTGTCTATATAGATGCGTGTGTGTGTATAAAACAAACAACACCCACCCCACCCCACCCCAAAAAAACCCTGTCCTGGTCTTCTGTTTGCTACTAAATACTTACATGGAAAAAGCAACCCTGTCACCTCAAGTCAAGCAATGACAAAGAGGAAACTAAATTCATGACACTGAAAGCTAGCTACATCAGTGGCTTCTGTGGTCTCACAGTGAGTATTTTACAAATTTGTTTCAGTTTCTTTTTGTTGCATCTTTTTTTTCTGAGAAAATGTCGTTAAACCTGTTTTTAAGCACAGAAGAAATCAGTGGAAATTAACCTTCATCCATCTCACCTATCGCAGAAATCCACCCCCTCAACCTCCTAAGGTAGTTTCAGGTTATTAGAACCTAAATGTTACATTCAGCTATTTCATATACCACTGTCTCCATTTTCCTCCCACACATCAAGTTAAAAGGTTAACTCTTACCAGTTTTTTGTATTACGTGTTTTTGCTTCCATGACAGATACTGTGAGTGGACTGTCAAGTGGAAAGAAGAAAATCATTCCTGAAAACTTTTAAGTGGCCATTTCACGGTATTTTAAGTCTTCCGAGAATCTCAACCCTTTTGTGAGATATGCAAAGACAACATAAGTGGGTGAACTTACACTGAAACATATGTTTAAAGTTGTATTTTGTGCTGTATCCCACTACAGTCTGCAAGTTCATTTGAGTACATCCTTTGGCTTCTAATACTTGGGGTCTTTTTCTATATTCTTGAATGACTTCTAGAATCAAGAGAAAGAAAAAGACAGTGCTCTTTATTTTTTGCTAAGCTAATGCATAGGCTTAACAACTCTTTTTGCACCACACAGTGGCAAGGCAAGGGGCCTTCATTATGCTCAAATCTTAGGGACAGAATATCTGTTCTTACCAGAGGTGGGTAGGCAATGCTCTTCCCATTATTCCCACTTATGACCTTTGCAGACATGATTAAGTTGTGTAGAAATTTCCAGTCAATATTAGCAGCTGTTTGGCACTGCTTGAGATTAATACTGTAGGGACCCTGAGTTTGTGTACATGGATGACTTCTTGCTACTGGTGTTCCAAGGACTGTTGCTCACACAGCTTTGATCAGATGACATGTTTCTTAAAATGCCTGTGGCTTTTTATATACTAATTTTCCAAACATTTCTGTCTCTGGTTACAGTGAACCACGGTTAGCAATATAGAATTTTCCCTAGTGGGGAATTTTCCACTAATGGGGAAGTTTCCTAAAGAAGTAGGTGGAGTTACATCAACATTTAAGTTCTGTCCCAAGAAGTCTTTGGGCAAATAGTTCTCTTTTTCCTGTCTTCTTCATTTGATTGTGAGAGAAACATACAGCAGCAATACTGAAGAACATTTTGCACAGTGAATATCTTTTTGCTTTTATAAAACTGTTCGCCACAGATGTCAGAAACCGGCAGGAGGAGAGAAGGAGCATTGTGGTAGGTTCTGTAAGGAAAATCATGAGAAGATTGCACCTTTGGTAAAGATCTTTGATTGGCATCTAGGTCTCAAGCTGCTTCAACCGATCGAGCCAGGGGATCCTTCTGCTCAGGATGAAACAGGAGAAGGGTCTGTAATGGTTATTGCAGCGGGTTTTTTCATGCCTATCTGTATTTGACCTGGACCTACTTTTTTTCTCTCTGAAAGTGAAAAATTGATTACAGCAGCAGACTTTCTCAGTCTTGAGGAATTTTGTAAGTAATAGTCATACTTCTTTGTGTGTAGTAAGGCTTGTTTTCCTCTACAGGGAAGAAAGCATGCAAATTAAAGTTCAGCAATTGCAGGATACAAGCATGGGTCTTAGAACCATAAAACTTACTTGTTGTCATCCATCTTCTGGGACTTAATCAGAACACCTCTCCTGGAGTTCATGCCGACATTCAGATTTCCTGACAAAAACGTGGGTATGGGTTGTATGCATGGGTATGGATATCCTTCTGTGAGTGTAGTGCACGTGCTATTTGTTCTGAGCAGTCTCTCAGCTACAGCCTCTACTTTAAAAGAAGTAGAAAGTATTTTGGGGCTGTGTGTGCTACAACTCTGGTCGTTCTGGCATGGGGAACGCACAGAGGTGCTCACCTATACCCATCAGTCTCAGTGGCTTGCTCTTCTGCAGGCTTGCCTCTAAAGTAAACGTGGTCAGAGCATACTTGTGAGATTGGTATGCCTCTATCTTGTTTGAGAAGCTTTACCCTGGAGCTTAGTTGGTGCTCTGGACTGCTTGTTACTCAGGCAGTGGCATCATGATGAAGGCACTCATGTGTGCACATCACCAGAAACAATTAGGGACCCACAGGATTAGCCAGCAGTTTGCCAGTGCTTTTAAGAACATCACTTGTGGCTAAGGAATAATTATTGGGTACCTAACCATGTTAAGAAGCCTGGGATTTATTTATCAATGAAACAGAGCTTTTACCCTGAGGATCTTATTTCTATTTTCCTGTCCCTGTTAGCAGAACATCCTTTTGTAATTGCTCATGCCTGCTTAACAACGTATTAGATTGACTCCCTTTCTCAGCTCCATCTGTGTTGCCATCTGCAAACCTGCTATTGGGATCAGGCACCAGCAATCTGAGGAAAAAAGTAGCTTGAATCAAATTCTTATGAGCAGTCTAATTCCCTTAAGCCACAACACTGTAAAGGCACATGTGTCTTATGATTCAGGACAGTATTGTTACTTTATTATCATCTTAAAGTTGACAACCAGAGAAAGACAAAACATGTTACCAAAAATGGTAAGAGTCACAGTCCAGATAGAATTTCATCAGTTAGGTTGCGTGACAGGTATTACAGTTGCCTAATTTCTTATGCAAATGCTGAAACTACCACTGGAAAACAGTTGAAGGCAATCTTTCCTTATTTTTATGGCTGTTTGGGTATCCAAAATGAGGACTTTATTTAGATAATATTCTACAGTTCTCTGTACTCACAAAAGACTTCCATTACAGTGAATTTGAATTTTTCTTGGGAGTAATTTGAAAAATGATGGCAGTGTTTGCCATAGTTTTGCTCTGACTTAAAAAACACACTTAGCAAGTGCAGTGGGTGTGTGAAGGTTGAATTGACATTGTATGAATTGACATTAATCAGTGTTTTATAATGTTAAAGTGTTGTGTAGGAGTATAAAAGCTATGTCAATAAAGAGAGGAAAAACTTCTGACAGAAAATTGAAATAATTTACAGGTTCAGAGGTAGAGCAGCAGAAATTCAAGAAAATAGATTTTGTTTGTAGGCTGACTGGTTTTGTCACTGTTTTACAAAGGCACTATTGTGTAAATACTTGTGAAGTGATTAATTACCGCATGAATTCTGTTCACTATATATGTAACTTCACAAGCCCCGTTGTAAGTGCTGTGAGTCCACGTGTTATAAAACAGCGTATGTTCACCGTATGTTAAAGGAAGGCAAGCAGGTGGGAAAGGACTAAGATCTATTTCTTCCACTGAATGCGTATACAAAACTCCTCCATTCTCCTCCTAGCAGGAGCAACACTCCCTGCTACAGTTTAGGGGAACAATTGGGTATTTGTGAGTATTTATTTACTAATTGACAGATAGTGGTAAAGCATATATTTTGCCATAACCAAGGACAAATGTTTAAAGCAAATAAAATTAGATGTTCATCCTGGACCCATGCAAGAAGCTTTCTGCCTGATCATCTACTGTATTTAAAGGTGCAATTTTGTCATGTTTTCGGCTAGAGTGGAATTCAGTGCCTTCTGTCCAGTTCTTTGTGTGGAGTGACTACAAAGTGTATTTTACAGTGCTAGTTAGAAAATGAGCAGATATTTATATTTGTCTATTATTTTATCATTTTAGGTTCTATCTACATAATGGAAAAGCCTTTGCTTTTGTACATATTTCTTTTCTACTGGCATTTCCTAAATGGTAAGAAGCTGAGTCGTAAGAAGCAGTAGAACTGGTTAAGTATGTTTCCTTTCCATGTAAAAGCACAGAAATGTTAATTCCTCAGTCTTCCTTCAGGTGCTAGCATTTGGGTTTTTTTCCTTAATGTATTAAATAAAAGGTCTTAGCATGCTTTTACATTAAACTAGGTATGTGTGCTTAATATGTGTGCTTTGATACAGGGCCAGGTTGAAATCTCTGTCGGTGTTTCAGCATAGACACCATTTCAGAAAAGGTACCATTTGCATTAAACAAAAAGTTTTATTGGCACTGTCAAACCTGGGAATTGTCATGTATTCTTTAACTTTGTGTGTAAAAACAATTGACATTTATATAAACAGAACATTCCCACCCGAGGCACTAACAATTGCCTATTACTGTGGCAGTGTTCTGAAAGCAGCAGCTGAGGGGCTGTGCACATACATTCGCCTATTTTTAGTATAGCATCACACTGCGTGTGTGCACAAAGCAGGTGTTTGCAGGTATAAATAGCCCAGTTTGTCCCAAACTTGGGCAAGTGCATACAAAAATGTTTAACTTTTCTGAACAGGGCAGATACTTTTTGTCCTTAAAATGTCCTATGTATATGGTAAGACATGACTTCCAAGATTAGGCTTAAAATTGGAAAATTAAGTTTTCTTCCAAATTTTGTTTTTCAGCTTTATTCACAGTTGAAGCTCCCCAGTCACTCTACACTGTGGAACATGGGAACAACGTGACCATGGAATGCACATTTCCAGTGAACGGGAAATTAAAGTTTAGAGATTTAAGTGTCAGCTGGGAAAAGAAAGATGAGTTGAGGAAGCAGGTTTATGAACTTCTCAAAGGAGAGGAAGACTTTGAAAGGCAGCACAGTGATTTTAAGGGAAGAATAAAATTGTTGAAAGAGAATCTGAACTTGGGACAGTCTCTCCTTCAGATCACTGATGTGAAGCTGAGAGATGCAGGGGTTTACCGCTGTCTTATTGGCTACGGGGGAGCTGACTACAAGACAATCAGTCTGAAAGTTAACGGTGAGAGTGCTACTGCAGGAGGTTCAGTGCTATCTGATACTGTTAAAAGATTTCAGAGGAGTCCCCAAAGTAAGACATGTCTGGTTTAACGTTTAAAGAAGCCTCTCCAGAGACAGAAACCACCTCATGGCTGTTGTGCAGCTGTACAACTTTGTGTTTCTGTCTAGGCTGAATCCATGTTCTGTCCTTTATTTCCCATTATGATATATGAGGAATGGTGTTGCAAAAACCATTTAGACAGGACAAAGACCAGAAAGCTAATGCAATTTTCTAAACAGCATTAAAATTTTAATAAATCCTGTACCTCCAGTTACTATGGAGAGGCACAACAGTGATATTTACTTTTCCTGTCAAGAGTGTTATTTACAAAGTCCAAGCTGATGTACAGAAACTTGGCCCAGGGGCTGGGGATAAATAAAAGGTGTCTTGCTAATATATGCTGTTCTTCTAGCTTCCTACTAGTAATAATTTTCTTCCATTTGTTTAGCTCCTTACAGAACTATAGCTCAAGGAGTCGTGAGCACAGGAGACAACAAATGGAAGTTGACATGTCAGTCAGAAGGATACCCACAAGCTGAAGTGATATGGCAAAACGGAGAATATGAAGATTTGACTGATAAGGCAAACACAAGTTATGAAACTGGAAGTGACCAGCTGTATCGTGTGACAAGTACCCTTACAATCGAAAGTAGGATTGATGAGATTTTTTACTGTATATTCTGGAATAAAGAGCTGCAAGAAAATACATCTGCCATTTTACACATAGCAGGTAACATTTCTAAATTTAATTTATGGTAACACACTTCAAGGTACAATGTCATTTTGTCCCATTTGAATCAGCCATGATTTGTTCCTCTTCCTATCTAATTTTAAAAGGGCTAAAAAGAAATACCTGTGTTGGTAAGTTTTGCTATTAGTGTACACTTCCACAATACTAACATGTTCATCATGCATGTGTGGATGGAATTCAAGGATAGGAATTTTGCATGACCTACAGTTATGTGAAAATTGAGTCTGAGTGTCAAAAAAAGTTCCATTATTTGAAAAGTATATAGCTCGGAACCTAGAAATGAAACCCTCCCATATAAATTAAACACACCTTCCAAGAATGTTCTGTTTTGCTGATGATAACTGTCAAATAAATTTGAACAATATGTTCTTTTCCTGCCACTATGGCGTTGCTTTGAGCATATTTAAATTTAACAAATTGTACATAGATTTTTTTTCTCATAAAGTTTGGATTGAAGGAACATGAATGAATGGGGAAGACCAATACAATTTCTCATTAGACCTTTTAGCTGGGCCACCACTCCTACTGCTTTTGCTTTTGGTTACTCTTTTAATTTCTGCATTGTACCCTGATATGTTTGCACAAGCTTTCAACCAGACTGGAGACTTGATCCAACTCAAAAATAATATTTCTGATATGAGACTGTTACTTGGTCAGGCCATTTTTCTGGTCCTGTTCACCATGCAGTTTTAAAAACGCCTGTGCTGGCACACATTCTGGGACTGACAAGGGTGGAAACAGGCAGCTGAGAGTTTCCTCAGCTCTTTCTCAAGTCATCCTTTCAGCGAGTGGTGAGCGGGCAAGTTTGGTTTTAACAAGAAATGCCTCTGGGATTCAGGGAGGTCACTTATCCTTTGCATTCAGAGCTTTACCAGATGAAAGGGACTCTCTAGTCTCTTTCTCAATCAGCTCCTTCCTGTAATCCTGACAGGAAACTGAGCTAGATATAACACTTTGTACCTTGGTGACAAGCAAGATTTGTGATGGGAGTCAAAGGCACTATCACATGGAATGCAGGAAGCAAAGATAAATATGAATATGTTCTATCTTTTTTTCCTTTATTGGGATAATGAGATATGGTGAAGTGCATCGTCAGCACCTGACCTTAGATGCTATTATCATGTCTGAACTGCTCATAGCAAAAATAACATGGTGAGAATGAAAGGAAAAGGGAGAAGCACATGCAATTGTGTAATGTCTTTCCCCAACTTGTTTTTCTTGAAGATTCAGCTGATGGTGTTCTGTGGACTGAGAGCAGACGCTTTGTTGGAGCAATTCTCATTGTGACTGCTTTCTTTGGATCAGTGCTTCTATTTACGCTCTACATAAGAAAAGGTATTCAGATTATTTATTTTAGTGTATCTCAGTTATTATGAATCTGTTCTGTTAATTCATCCTTGCAGAGGTGGAATGAGATAATAAAAGTCTGCCTTAGGTCTTTCATCCTGAAACCACTAAATTTTTTACCACATTGTTTATTTCTTTTTCTTTATCTGACTTAGTTTAATATTAGCAAGTTAGCGGAGCGGAACAGGTTGTCAGCTCCTCACAAACCACTTACGCATGCATCTCTATTATTTTTTCTTATAGGTAATGATGTAGAGCAGTAAGATTAGTGTCTAATCCATTCAAACGTCAAAGCATAGCTTATGCACCTACTGGAAATGGAAGTTTCCTGTTCTGTGTCCTCCCTTTTGATTGGGGACCAGAATGCTGGGAGCAGACAGGGCACTGGAGGTTTTTTAGGGTTTTTTTCCTGCATTCTCTGAAAAATTTCACTGAACTGTGAGCATGTGGGGTTTTTTTGTAATCTAATTGTTATGAATTCTACATACATGTTTATTCTGGTTAAAACACCATAAAAATGGTGGACTACATATGAAGTGATATGTCCAAGGTTTTGAGTCTGAAACATTTTTTTTTCACAAGAAGGAATATTCCCACTGTGGCTTCATACCCCTTGATTCATTTCCTTGTTAATTTTTGAACTTTTTCAGTTCACTTCACTGACTTGAACTGGACATTTTCAGCATCACAGTATGCTGAAGAGCTAAAGCATTGGTGGTAATCTGTTTTCACTTGCTAGCTAACCAAAGAAAAAACTTGGAGAAATAATTTTTACGGTATCTGAGCATGAAAAGAATATGGTTTGCCCCCAAATTAAAGAAAAAATGTTTGAAACGTGTTGCTTAATCTGAAATAAGTACTTTTTTTTTCTTTTCTTTATTTGGTTGTTTGTGGGTTTTTTTTTCCTTGGAGGGAAGGTAGGTGTGTTTGAGGATTTTATATTCAGGGGTATTTTTTACTCTTCATTTTAACAGATACAATAAAGTCATGCAGATCTCAGAACATCCATAGGACTCATTTGAAAATGTTGAAAGGAAAGTGTTCTTGCTGAACATTCTGGTTTTGGCCAGAACTCCTCCTCTGTGTAACAAAGTTGTGGATTTTTTTAGCTGATGCATAGCTACTTTTTTTTTTTCAAGTAACTTTTTAATTTTTTTTTGTCAAGTTGTCTGCAGAGAAAAAGTACAAGAGGCATTGAAGCTGGTACAGTACTCTTAGCATTATAATATCATACTGGCATGACTTTGTAAATTATTACCACAAATGCTCCAAAAACCTGAACAAGACAGTTGACTCGTCTCGAAATTCTTGAATTTTATAGGAGATGTAAATGTGTGTAGCTAACATGAAACTCAGCTGGAACTAATGCAAATGCTAGTTGTACTGTCTTTTCAAGTGGTATCTCAAAAGCTTCCACACTAAGAGATGCGTACTTTCTGAGGCAGCATAGCAGAACTGTTGGTTTCCCTGTCTGCCAACTCTCTTTTCCATAGTGAAAACCAGAAACAGCCCTAATTTCTGTCTGGAAATTAGACAAAACCATCTATAAGGAAACTCTACACTCAGCCTTCATGTTCAAGTTCCATAAAATAAATACAAGATAGAACTAAATATGGATATTCAGTGTTTTGGTCACAAACTCATCTCCTGCATCGGTGCTATGGACACATGTCCTGGGAGAAGTGTTCGTAAGCTTAACAGGCTTGCAGGTGATGCTAACAGGCTGCAGAAGGCCTGTAGATAACCGTGCATGTATAAGAATTTGTGCTAAGAACATGATAGGAGTAGGAGCAGAACATGAAAGTGGAAGAAGGGACAGCAAAATCCTTGACTTCTCAGAAGATTCCCATCTGGGGATTTCAGTGAAGGTCAGAAGTTTCCTAGGTTGCTTAAATAATATTTATTGTTTGTGTGTATACATGATAATGTATATACATGTCATGATGTGATTATCATGATTATGTTATATATATGTGTGTGTGTGTGTCATAAACTACAAGTTGATTCAGAAGCTAAAGTAGTAGCCACAGGTTTTTCTCTTAAAACTCAAGCTGTGCTAGATGAGCAGACAAGCAATTCTTTCAGAATGGAACCTCCCTGGAATATGGGTCTTTTTCCCCTCAAAAAGCACTGAGAAGGTGATCCACTTCTTGTTCTCTGTTGCCCAATATGTTCAAATTCTGGGTGAAAATATACAATGGAAAACCATTTCATAGAACCATAGAATAGTTTGGGTTGGAAGGGACCTCTAAAGGTAATTTAGGCCAACCCCCCTGCCGTGGGCAGGAACATCTTCAGCTAAATCAGGTTGCTCAGAGCCCCGTCCAACCTGACCTTGAATGTTTCTAGGGATGGGGCATCCACCACCTCTCTGGGCAAGCTGTGCCAGTGTTTCACCACCCTCAATGTAAAAAATTTCTTCCTTATATCTAGTCTACATCTACCCCCGCCTAGTTCAAAGCCATTCCCCCTTGTCCTGTCGCAACAGGCCCTGTGAAAAAGTTTGCCGCTATCTTTTTTATAAGCCCCCTTTAAGTACTGATAGGCTGCAAGAAGGTCTCCGCAAAGCCTCCTCTTCTCTAGGCTGAACAACCCCAACTCTCTCAGCCTCTCTCCATAGGAGAGGTGTTCCAGCCCTCTGAGCATTTTTATGGCCCTCCTCTGGACCTGGTCCAACAAGTCTGTGTCTTTCCTGTGCTGGCAACCCCAGAGCTGGACGCAGTACTCCAGGTGGGGTCTCATCAGAGCAGAGTAGGGGGGACAGAATTACTTCCCTCGACCTGCTGGCCACGCTTCTTTTGATGCGGCCCAGGATACGCTTGGCTTTCTGGGCTGCGAGCGCACATTGCGAGCTCACGTCCAGCTTTTCATCCACCAGTACCCCCAAG